TTACCTAGTCATCAGTTGTTGGGCATTTGGGTTGCTTCCATGTCTTGGATATTGTTAATAATGCTGCAATGAACATAGGGGTGCATAAGTCTCTTTGAATTGTTGGTTTCAAGTTCTTTGGATAAATAGTCAGTAGTGGGATAGCCAGATCATATGCTATTTCTATTTTTTCATTTTTTGAGAAATCTCCGTACTATTTTCCATAGTGGCTGTAACAGTTGGCATTCCCACCAGCAATGTGTAAAGGTTCCTTTTTCTCCAAACCATCTCTAGCATTTGATGTTTTTTGTCTTGGTAATTGTAGCACCTCTAACAGGTATAAGCTGATATTTCATTGTAGTTTTGATTTTCATTTCCCTGATGATTAGTGATGCTGAACATATTCTCATGTGTCTATTGGCCATCTATATATCTTCTTTGGAAAAATGTCTATTCATATCCCCTGCCCATGTTTTGATCAGGTTGTTTTTGTTGTGGTGGTAGTGTTGTATGAGTTCATTATGTATTTTGGAGATTAACTCCTTGTTGGATATATGATTTGCAAATATTTTCTCCCAGTTGGTGGGTTGACTTTTCATTATATTCCTGGTTTCCTTTGCCTTGGAGAAGCTCTTTAGTCTGATGAAGTCCCATTTGTTTATTTTTTCTTTCATTTCCCTTGCCTGAGTATACATGGTATTCGAAAATATCCTTCAAAGACTGATGTCAAAGAGTGTACTGCCTATATATTCCTTAAAGAGTTTGATGGTTTCAGGTCTTACCTTCAAGTCTTTAATCCATTTTGAGTTAATTTTTGTGTATGGAGAAAGATAATGGTCTACATATGTTCTTTTTCACGTGACTGTCCAGTTTTCCAAGCACTATTTATTGAAGAGACTTTACATTCTCCATTGTATTTTCTTGGCTCATTTGTCGAAGATTAGCTGTCCAGAGATATGTGGTTTTATTTCTGGGCTTTCAATTCTGTTCCATAGATCTGTGTGTCTGTTTTTGTGACAGTACCATGCTGTTTTGATTACTATGGCTTTGTTGTATATTTTGAAGTCAGGGAGTGTGATGCCTCCAGCTTTGTTCATTTTTCTCAGGATTACTTTAGCTATTCGGGGTCTATTGTTGCCCTATATGAATTTTAGGATTCTTTGTTCTATTTCCATGAAGAATGTCATTGGGATTCTGATTAGGATTGCATTGAATCTGTAGATTCCTTTAGGTAGTATGGACATTTTAACTATGTTGATTCTTCTGACCCATGAGCATGGAATATCCTCCATTTCTTTATGTCAGCACTGGTTTCTTTCAATAATGTCTTATAGTTTTCATTGTATAGGTCTTTCACCTCCTTTGTTACATTTATTCCTAGATATTTTATTATTTTTGTTGTCTTTGTAAAAGGGATTTTATTCTTTTGTTCTCTTTCTGTTAGTTTGTTATTAGAGTATAGACACGCAACTGATTTTTGTAAGTTGATTTTGTACCCTGCAACTTTGCTGTAGTTGTTGATTATTTCTAATAGTTTTCCGATGGATTCTTTAGGGTTTTCTATATATAAAATCATGCAAACAGCAAGAGTTTCAATTCTTCATGGCCTATTTGGGCTCCTTTTATATATTTTTCTTGTCTAATTGCTCAGGCCAAAACCTCTACTACTATGTTGGATAAGAGTGGCGAGAGTGGGCACCCTTGCCTTGTTCCTGTTCTCAGAGGAATGGCTTTCAGTTTTTCCCCATTGAGTATGATGTTGGCTGATGGTTTGTTATATATGGCCTATATTATGTTAAAGTACTTTCCTTCTACATTCATTTTATTGAGAGTTTTTATGATAAATGGATTTTGGATCTTGTCGAGTGCTTTCTCTCTGTCTATTGAGATGATCATGTGATTTTTATTCCACGTTTTGTTAACGTGGTGTATCACATTGATTTGCGGATTTTGTACCATCCCTGCCTCCATGGTATAAATCCCACTTGATCATAGTTTATGAGCCTTTTAATGTATTGCTGTATTCGCTTTGCCAATATTTCGTTACAGATTTTTGCATCTATGTTCGTCAGCAATATTTGCCTGTAATTTTCCTTCTGTGTATTGTCTTTTTCTGGCTTTGGGATCACAGTGATGTTGGCTTCATAAAGTGTATTTGGAAGTGTTCCAACTTGTTCAATTTTTTAGAATAGTTTGAGAAGGATAGACATTAAATCTTCTTTGAATTTTTCGTAGAATTCTTCAAAGAAGCCATCTAGTCCTGGACTTTTATTTTTTGGAGGTTTTGATTACTGTTTCAGTCTCTTGTGATTTGTCTATTCAGATTCTCTATTTCTTCTTGATTCAGTTTTGGGAGGTTTAGTTAAGAATTTATCCATTTCATCTAGATTATCCTATTTGTTGGCGTATAGTTTTTCATAATGTTCTCTTATAATTCTTTGTATTTCAGTAGGATCCATTGTAATTTCTCATCTTTCATTTCTAATTTTATTTTTTTGAGCCTTCTCTCTTTCTTTTTTAGTGAGTCTGGCTAAGGGGTTGGCAATTTTTTTTTATTTTCTCAAAGAACCAGCTCTTAGTTTCATTGATCTTTTCTACATTTTGTTTTCTATTTCATTTATTTCTGCTCTAATTTTTATTATTTCCCTCCTTCTGCTGACTTTGGGCTTTGTTCTACTTTTTCTAGTTCTGTTAAGTGTAGTTTAAGGTTACTTATTTGAAATTATTCTTGTTTGTTAAGGTGGGCCGCTATTGCTATGAATTTCCCTCTTCGGACTTCTTTTCCTGCATCCCGTATGAGTTGGTATGATGTATTTTCATTTTCATTTGTCTCCAGATTTTTTTTTAATTTCTCCTTTATTTTCTTCATTGATCCATTGGTTGTTCCATGTCATGTTATTTAGTCTACACATATTTGTCACTTTCCCAGCTTTTTTCTTTTAGTTGATTTCTAGTTTCATAGCCTTATGTGCAGTAAAGGTGCTTGATATGATTTCAGTCATCTTAAATGTATTGAAGCTTGCCTTCTTTCCCAACTTGTGGTCTATCTTTGAGAACATTCCATATGCACATGAGAAACATTTGTACTCTGCTGTTTTTGGATGGAGTGTTCTATATATATCTATTAAGTCCATCTGGTCTATTTTGTTTTTTAATTCCACTATTTTCTGTTGATTTTCTGTCTGGAGGATCTATCCATTGAGGTAAGTTTTGTGTTGAGGTCCCCTACTATTATGGTGGTGTTGTTAATTTCTCCCTTTAGGTCTGTTAATAGTTACTTTATGTACTTTGGTCCTCCTTTGTTAGGTTCATACATATTCACAAGTGTTATGTCCTCTGGGTGGAGTGTCCCTTTTATCATTATATGCTGTTCCTCTTTGTCTCTCATTACCTGTTTTGTCTTGAAGTATGCTTTGTCTGATATAAGTATGGCAACACCTGCTTTCTTTTGTTTGCCATTAGCTTGAAGTATTGTCTTCCATCCCTTCAGTCTGAGCCTGTGTTTGTCTTGAGAGCTGAGATGTGTTTCCTGGAGGCAGCATATTGTTGGGTATTTTTTTTTTAATCCATTCAGCCACTCTGTGTCTTTTGATTGGAGAATTCAATCCATTTACATTTAGAGTGATTATTGATATCTGAGGGCTTCATGCTGCCATTTTATCTCTTGTTTTCTGGTTGTTCTGTATTTCCCTTATTTTTCATCCCATGTATTTCCAACTGCCAGTTCAGTTTGGTGATTTTCTATGATGGTTTTCTCAGTTTTCTCTTTATCATTTGTGTCTCTGCTTGGATTTTTTGTTTAGTGTTTACCATGAGGTTTGTATAGAAGATCTCATAGATGAGTTAGTCCATTTTGGGATAGCCTCTTATTGCCTTAGCCTAAGCAGATTCTATCCCTTTCCTCTTCCCCATCTAAATTATGGTTGTCACAACTTATTCCGTTTTGTGTTGTGAGTTTGTGAGTAAAGTGAAGTGATTATAGTTATTTTTTATGCTGTCCTTCCTTTTATCTTTAATATTATAATTAAGTGTTTGCTAACCTGTTCTGATAGAGAGCTACAATATTCTGATTCTGTCTGTCTATTTATCTTCTTGCTCAAGGCCTTGTAAACCCTTTCTTTTTTTTTTTCAGGTATGAGTGCCTTCTTGATCATTTTTTGTAAGGTGAGTCTTGTGGTGATGAACTCCCTCAGCTTTTGTTTATCTGGGAAATTTTTTATTTCACCATCATATCTGAAGGATAGTTTCACTGGATAGAGTATTTTTGGCTTAAAGTTTTTGTCCTTCAGTATTTTTAGTATATCATTCCACGCTCTACTAGCATGTAAGGTTTCTGCTGCAAAATCCACTGAAAGCCTGATAGAGGTTCCTTTGTAGGTTGTTTTCTTCTGCCTTGCTGCCCTTAATATTTTTTCTTTGTCATTGACTTTTGCCAGTTTTACTAATATATGCCTTGGAGAAGGTCTTTTTACATTGATGTAATTAGGAGTTCTATTGGCTTCATTTACATGTAATTCCAGCTCCTTCCCCAGGTTTGGGAAGTTCTCAGATATTATTTTTTTGAACAAGATTTCTGCTCCTTTCTCCTTCTCTTCTCCCTCTGGAATACCTATAATCCTTATGTTGCATTTCCTAATTGAGTTGGATATTTTTTGGAGTATTTCTTCATTTATTTTCAATCTTAGTTCTTTCTCCTCCTCCACCTGAAGCACTTCTTTATTTCTATCCTCTAAATTACTAATTCTCTCCTCCATAAGGTCAGCTCTGGTTTTTAAGGATTCTAGATTTTTCTTTATCTCATTCATTGTGTTCTTCATTGCCAGAATTTCTGTTTTTCTTCATTCTCTTTTGTGAAGAAATCCCTTTGCTCATTAATTTTATTCCTGAGTTCATTGAATTATCTTAATGAGTTTTCTTCTAACTCATTGAATTTATTTGTGATAACTATTTTGAATTCTTGGTCATTTAGACTGTAAATTTCTGTGACTTCAGGAGTGGTTTCTAGAGATTTGTCATTTTCCTTCTGGTCTGGAGTGTCAATTTATTTCTTCATGCTGTTTGATGGGGTGGAACTTTGCTGGCACATAGTGGTAGTATCTGGTCGCAGATTCCACCTGCCACCACTGTCGAGGGCAGGAGCTGTGTGTTCTGAGCCTGCTGCATCCTCTGGCAGTGGTGAACATCCATTGGAAACTTTGCTGACAGGGCCCATCTGTGTTTGCCCACTGGCCACCACTGCTTCACTGATGCAGGTGCAGGTGCTCTTGCAAGGATCCCCTGCCCTGGGCAATTGGCTGAGCTGGTGTGCCAGCTCAGGGAGGGGTGCTTAGTTTCCCACCCATGCTCCCACTCTGCACTCACTGGCAGCCCACCTGGGCTGCTTGGCTTGGTGGGGGTGCCCCGATGGTGACTGAGCCACCTCAGTTTGGAGCATTCCATAGGCTGGGAAGCAACTGAAAGAGGGAAAGTGTTCCTGTGGAGGGGTGATTTTACCCCCATCTCTTCTCAGAGTCATGCACTGGCTGCTACATGAGGTCCTGCACACCAGATCACTGCCACTGTGGAAGAGATCCACTTAACTCCTCCCGCAGCTTTCTGTGTGATCCAGCACACCCACCTTCAGACATATGGCTGCGCAGATCTCTCACAAGTCTATTGTGTTGTGTAGATGTCCTCTGTTAGTTAATGAATGTCCTTTTCATTGTATCTTAGGGGGGAGAGACTAAGGAAACAGTTTACTCTTCCATGATGTTGTCGTCACTCTCTGAATTAGTAATATTTCTTCCTTAAATATTTGATGGAATTTACCGGGGAAATCATCTGGACCCAATGCTTTCTATTTGGAAGTTTAATTACATTTCTTTAATAAATATAGGCCTATTCAGATGATCTGTTTCCCCTTGTGAGTGAGATTTTCTAGTTTGTGTCCTTCAAGGATTTGGTCCATTTCATTGAAGTTATCAAGTGCCTGGGCATAAATTTGTTATGGTGTTCTCGTATGATCCTTTTAATGTCCATGAGATCAGGACTGATGACCCTTCTTTTACATCTACTATTGGCAATTTTTGTCTTCTCTCTTTTTTATTCATGGTTAGTCTGACTAGACAAAGATCCTTTCAAAGAACTAGCATTTGGTTTTGTTAATTTTCTCCTCTGTTTTCTGTTTTTACTTTCATTGATTTCTGTTGTAATTTTCATTTATTTTTCTTCTGCTTGCTTTAGGATTACATTGCTCTTTTTCATCTTATCTCCTAATGTGGGAAGTTTAGATGATTGATTTTAGATCATTCTTCTTTTCTAATATATGTGTTTAATGCTATAAGTGTCCCTCTAAGCACTGGCTTTGCTGCATTCCACAAATTTTGATAAGTTGTATGTTGATTTTTTAATAATATTTTTAATTTTTATAGAGACTTCTTCATTGACCCATGTGCTATTTAAAAGTATGGTGTTATTTCCTAATTTTGGGGTGGATTTTCCAGCTATCTTTCTGCTACTCATTTACAGTTTAGTTCCATTATGAACTGAGAACATACTTTGTATGATTTCTATTCTTTATATGTGGTAAGGTGTATTTTTGGCCCAGGATGTGGTCTATTTTGGTAAATATTTCATGTGAACTTGAGAAGAAGTGCATTCTGTTCTTTGGGATGGAGCTTTCTAAAAATGTCAAGTAGATCAAGCTGATTGATTCTGCTCTTCAGGTCAACTGTATCCTAACTGATTTTTCTGCCTGCTTGATCTATCTATTACTGACAGAAGGGTATTGAAGTGTCCAATTGCAATAGAACCTTGAAGTTCTATCAGTTTCAGACTCAGGTAATTTGACACTCTATTGTTAGGTGCATACACATTAAAGATTGTTATAGGTTGTTGGAGAGTTGACCCCCTTTATAACATTATATTCTTTATCTATAATTTTCGTTGACTGATATCTGTTTAGTCTGAAATTAATATAGCTATTCCAGCTTTGTTTTGATTAGTGTTAGCACGATACAGCTCTCCATTCTTTACTTTTGAGCTGTCTAAGCCTTTGTAATTAAATTGGATTTCTCATAGACTAGATACGGTTGGGACTTTTTGTCCACAATGACACTCTCTATCTTTTAATTAGTGTATTTAGCCTATTCACATTTAAGTGTTATTGATATAGTTGGATTAATAAATACTATATTCATAACTCTTCTTTGACATTACATTTACTCTTTTTCTGCCTTCTCTAGTTTTAATCAAGTGTTCTATTTGATTCCATATTATCTTCTCTCTTGGCATATCATTAATGCTCTCTTAAAAAAAATTTAGCCCTTGTCCTAGAGTTTATGCTATAAATCTTAAAATAATGTAACATCACCATTAAATAGCAATGTATACTTCATGTGTAATGAAGGAATATGAAAACACAATTTCCCTTTCCAGTTACTTGTAACATTGCTGTCATGCATTTCACTTATCCTTATGTTATAATCACCAAATGTCATTTTTAGATGACATCATTGTATGCATTGAAACTGCTAAGAATTGACACAAACGAGTAGATATAATAAATGGTTGTAGGGGGTCATGGGCTACAAGGTCAGTGATTTAAAATAAAATGTATTTTTATATAATAACAAAAATTATGACATGAAATGAAAATATCTTTTAAAATAGCATCAAAATATTTTAAATAATGGGAATAAATATAACAACAGATATGCTAGATCAGGGATTGGTTGGCAAATCAGGGCAATCAGGGATAGGTGAGCTGGCCAATGCCCTGCTTTTTTTAATAAGCTTTTATTGGAACACAGCCACGTTCATTTGTCTGTGTATTGCCTATGCCTGCTTTCCCATACAGTTTTGCCAGGGACTGTATGGCCCGCCAATTCTGGCCCTTTATATAAAAAAAAAAAAAAAATTACTGATCCCTATGCTAGGTCACTACTCTGAAAAGTAAAAAAATTATTTCCAAGGTAATGAAAGAAAACTTACAGAAATGGAGAGATACACTATGCTTATGGCTTAAAAGATTCAATATTATTAAGATGTCCATTCTGTCAAATAGGTATGTTGATTCAAGAAAATCAGAGTAAATATCTCAGCAGCCTTTTTAAAGGAATTGACAAGTTGATTATAAAATTTATATAAATGTTATATAAATTTGTAAGGGAGGTAGAATAGCCAGAAATATCTTGAAAAAGGAGAACAAAGTTACAAGACTGACATTACCAGACTTCAGGATTTCCGTGAATCTACACAAATCTAGACAATGTGCTATTGAACTATGCATAGACAACTTTGATCAGAGGTTACCAAACTACAACCCATGGGCAAAATCTGGCCCAACACCTGTTTTTGTACACCAAGGAAGCCAAGATTTACTTTTTCATTTTTAAATGCTTGAAACCAATCAAAAGAATAGTATTCCATGACACGTGGTGGATTTATGAAATTCAAATTTCAGTGTACACAGATAAAGGTTGACTGGGACACAACCAAGCAGAAAACAAGCTCTGGAACTCACCACCCTCTGCTTCAATAATCAAATCTTTTGGCTTTGGAGTGTAAACTAGTCATGTGACAGGCTGGGGAACTGTGCAGGTTTCAAATGGTTTGATGGGATACACAGAAACACAGACAAATGGATTTCAAACACGTCTCTAATTCTACTGCACTAGATTATATATGCTCAAGTTCCATTGCCTGGGTTTCTCTTCGAAGAGGTATGGGCCATGACAGTGGTATATTGGCTCTCTCCTTGCCTCCCTTCTTTCCTAGAGAGTCCAGGTACAGTAATCCAAACAGTGTAATATTGGCATAAGGATAGACCAGTGCTCAATGAGACAGAAAAGAGAGTGCAGAAATAGAACCACACGTTATGGTCAGTTCATTCTAGACCAAGGTGCCAGGGAATTCAATGACGAAAGTTAAGTTTCTTTGTACAAATCGTGTTAGAACAAACTTAAGAAAATAAAAAAAGAAAAAACTAAACCAATGTCACTCCATACACAAAAAATAATTCGAGGTGAATCTAAAACTAAATGTAAAAGCTAGAAACACAATTCTTCTAAAAGAGAACATAGGAGAATATCTCTGTGACCTTTGCCTAGGCCAAGATGTCTTAGACAGGACAACAAATGCTAAGGATTGAAGGAAAACTCAATAAATTGAACTTTTTAAAATGTAAGATATTGTTCCTCCAGCAACGCCATTAACACACCTAATAGATTAAAATTAACAAGAGTTTACCATACCAATTCTTGGCGAGGATATGGAGCCATTAAAATGCTCGTACACTGCTGGTTGTAGTGTAAAACTGTAGAATCGCTTTTGATAGCTGTTTGTAAGGTTTCTAAATAGCGGAGCATACACCTATCACCATATAACCCATCCACTCCACCCCTAGGTATTTACCCAAGAGAAATGAAAACATACATCCATGCAAAGACACATACCCGAGTATTCATAGTGGCTTGATTCATATGACCCCAAAATGGGAAACAGTCCAAAGGGCCATCAATAGATAATGGGCAAAACAAAAAGTGGACATTCGTACAATAGAATAATGCTCAGCAACAAAAACAGAATGAAGTACTGATAGATTCAATAACATAGTTGATATTCAAGATTCTTATACTGACTGAATGAAGCAAGAACACAAGAGTGATACTGTATGCTTCCATTTATATAAAATTCTAGAGATTGCCGGCAAACCTATAGTGACAGAAAGCAAATCAGTGTTTGTCTGGGACTGGGGACATAAGGAGGGACAGACTTGCAAAGGGCACAACAAATCTTTTAGATGAGGTGGAACTTTTCTGTACCTTGATTGTGGCAGTTCTTTCATGTGGTCTACACCAAAGATGCTAGAGCTGGAGATAGAGAAGGAGGGCTCTCAGGGAGCCAGGTCAAATTTTCCAAAGAAACTGTATACCTAGGTGTGTACTTTGGCATGTAGAGGGATTTATTTCTAAAGAGTGGGAAACATCTGTAAATATTCACATGAAGCAAGGGGAGGGGAAGGAAGAGGAGAGGGCCATGGGTGGACTCAAGACTGGCCTGGGTTATAGTCAAATTATCACAATCCAAAGGGCTACAGTCAATGACAGAGTCAGAAGTTGCTCATTGCAGTGAAGCCATGGTGGGGCTGGGTCAATAGGAAGATCCCCCAGTTTCAGACAGAGCCCTGAAAGTGGTGTCCATGGGATTATCAGCCACAGACATTGCAGTGAGCCACCAGGATGCAAGGGAATGGGACCACATTAACCTTAACTGGATAAAGCTGTCCATTCATGATCCAGGGACCAGGAGAAAGTCAGCTTGACCCCCTTCCACCAGGACAATGAAGTCAAAGAAGACTGGTCCCATACCCCTGCTGCCATCTTAGAGGGAGCAAGGGTAAGACAGAATCTGAAAGACCAAGAAATTAACACAGAGAGATAAAATGTTTCCTTATTATGTTCCTTTCAAAATATCATGACCCATACAAACCAAAAGAAAATACTGTGATGGTTTCACATATGTCTACTGAATTTTTGACAATCTCTTCAAAAAAGTACAGCCTAATTCCCCATTCTGAGTGTGGGCTAGACTTAGTGACTTGCGTCCAATGAACAGAAAGAAACAGAAGTTCCAGTGTGTCACTTCCAAGAGTAGGTCATAAAAGGCATCAAGGCTTCTGTCTTTGTCAGTCTCTCACTTGGATGACTTGTTTTGGGCAAAATCGTATGCCATATCGAGAGGACACTCAAGTAATCTATGGTGAGGCCACATGGCAAGGAACTGAGACCTCCTGATAATAGCCACATGGGTAAATCATCTTAGAGGTGGATCATCCAGCTCCAGTCAAGCCTTCAGATGACTGCAGCCCTGGCCAATATCCTGAATGCAATCTCATGAAAGACCCTGAGCTAGAACCACCTGGCAACTAAGCTTCTCCTGGATTCCTGGCCCAGAGAAACCGTGAGATAATAAATGTTTATTGCTTTGAGCCATTACACTTTGGGGCACTTTGTTACAAAGCAATAGATAACTAATGCAAATACCGAAGCATTTATTTGTAGTATGAACAACATGATTTGGTTAGGAGCTTGTATATCAATGTCAGTATACAAGAACCAACTGGGCTTCCATAATTTAGCAATAATCCAAAATAGGTATGGAGAAATGAATTCCATGAACTTTGAGGTCCTGGAGAAGGAATACAGTATCATCATCATTTCTGTATTTTCCACTGTGCCTAGCAAAAGGCCTTATGCCCCTTAGTTGCTAGTACATGTTCCTCGACTAGAAGAGGATTATGGTAGTCTAGAATTGTAAGGGAGCCTTGAGTTTATGTGCTTCACACTTTTTTTTAAACCTGCAATAAAAATTAGTTCCAGAAATGTGAGGTGACTCTCCCAAGGTCAGGCAACTGGTTAGAAGTATACCAGGAGTAGATTTTGGTCTCCTGACTCCTAGTTCACCAGGCTTAAGCTCTCAATGCATGTTTCCATATTAGAGGATTGTGGGGATGGTTGGAAATGTTTGGGAAGTGTTAGGAGGAAAGAATGAAGAGGATACTTTGAAGGGAGGAGAATGTGGAAATGCCTGTGACCCCTCACTTCTCTTCTAAATTTTTGAATATCTGTGTAAATTTGAGGGCAGGACCAGCTCATACAAAACTATTGAATGTTCTGTGCTGAGGAGGACTCACTCCTCACAGGTCCTTCTTCCTTTGTACTTGGCTGTGTCTTTACTTCATCACAAGAGACTGGAGCAGGGATGGGATAGCGTATCAAAGGCAACCACATATAGGTTGGACATCGGGAAGGGTGGCAGCCTCTGAGGGAGATTTACACATAACTCTGCCACACTGTAATTCCTTTATCTTTGATAATGGCAATTTCACTTAATGAAAATACTCTTCTCCTTGGGGAAATATGAGTGCAGTTTTCACTTAGATGAGCTGGGCTCCTCAGGCTAAGGCTATATCCCAAACGATGGCGACCCCTTTTTCTGGTTCTCTTGGTGCCTGCTGAACAACTGAGACTTGGAGACACCAAAACAGAATGATATCCATATCAAGAGAGTAGTGAAGAAATAGCCACTGGGAATGGAGTTGCAGGGAAGACTGTGGCACTGGGAGAGAGTGGGGGTATGTTAGGGGACAGCAAGGACCTCCTCATTGCCCTCAAAACACTGTTTCTAGTCCATAGTTTGAGCTGTGGCCTCTCATCCCTGGATACCCGGGAGACGTGTGTCCCAAAGGCAGGGATTTGGGGAGAACAGGTTAGTTGTCATTCTCCAACAGTTAGGGAAGCTCATAGTGTGTCTGTGTAGTGAAGGCTGCTACCGCTTGCATCCCTAAGTAGATGTACAGAGTGGAAGAAATGAACCCAGGGGCCAGAAGGCCCATCCATGGGCACCACAGGACATATACAGCCCCATGGGTGTAACAGCACTCTTTGCTTACAGCTGATGCCTTCGGATCCTGGAGCGAGCCTAGGTCCAGAAATGAAGGATGCATCTGTTTGACCATCTGCAGTAGCCTGATCCCCACATTTATTGGTCACCCAGGGATTTAGGTAGAGTTTCTACTCATATTTTAGTTCTTATGCCTTCTGTGGTTGTCTGGCTTCCAGGTCCCCACGCCCACCCCCCCGCCCCCAATTAAATTTCCAGCTGCTCTTCCAGACCTAAACTCTATTCTCTGTCATCTTCAGCTAAGGTGGTAAGGCTGTCTGTCATTTCCCTCCACAGTAGCTGTGGAGGTTGGGGAGCACTCTACAATAAGAAAGCTATAAATTCTCAACTCTTATCCCTTCTCTATTGCTGTTTTTCAAGAGTAAACTCTCCTTTTGCTTCTGCCTGCTTTTGGATGCTTTTCAGTACCTTTAAATATTTGTTTTCTCATATTCTTTTCCAGATTTCATAATTGTTATCTGTGGGAGGGTTCACATGACTTTTTCATTCATTTCATTCTACCACCATAACCAGTTCTGGACTATGTTTTAAAACCCAAAAGAGACAGGAAACTTATGAAATTTATGCAAGCGTTTTAAAGGGACAGGAAGGGAGAGATTTGGCATACTATAGGCGAAATTTCTCCCCATTAATACTCCATTCAGTTGAGACTCCTCAATAAAAGTTACACCAACACTCAACACAGCCTCACATAAAGACACATACAAGATACATGTAATATTTACAGTATTGATGTCACATTGTAAATATTGATAATAGCTCATCCCTGGAAACACTTTCTCTTTTCCTCCCTATCCCACTTGAGTTCAATCAAATGAAATGTGTACTGGTGAAGCAGCAGTGCAAATATGGAGTTTGACAGGTACATTCTCCTCTCCATGTCCTCAGTAAGTCCAGAAATGGAGCTGGATCCTCGGAGCTCCAAGGCTTGTAGGTCCCCTAGATACAGAAACAGTGCATGCCTTGGAATGATTTTGAAGGGACAGCGAGACCATCCCTCATAAGGCCTCACTTGAAGACATATTGTCACTGCCCTGTGCTGACCATGTCTATCTCTTCCCCACTGCCAAATTAGAGGAAAAGAGGATCTCCTATCACCATGGTCGTGGCAGCTCTGATATCATGACCTCCCCAAAAGAAGGACCAAACTAGGCGTTTGTTTTGTGGTTGAGAAGAGTGAGGCATTCAGCTGTGCTAAAGAGAAAGAGGAGGAGGCAGCTCTTGTCTATGGTCTAGTGGACCCTCCCTGCCTGCCCCTGTGCCCGCTCCTGGCTGTTCGCTCCTTTCAGATCTGTCTGGTCCCGGTTTGCTTGCCTGGTCATGTGGTGTCCAGAACTGCGTTTCTGATTATGGCTCTGCTCTGTGTTCAAAAGAAGCAAGGCTGCCCACCAGGAAGAGGACAGTCCCGGAACCTGGAGGGATTTCTAGAAAGAGGCTGTAACTGGAGCAGGAGAGGAGTGTTAAGAGAGGGAGGGAAGGGGGCTTTCCTTAAGGAGGGAAGTAACAGCCAGGATGTCAGTCACTTCTCTCTCAGCCCCTATTTTTGGTATCCACTTCAGAGGATAACCTGGACTAAATATGTATGTTTGTGTGTGTATACGCACACATGGATACACAGCTGCAAATCAGCTCTAGCTGTTGTGGGGGTGGGCAGTGGTGTGTGTCTGGTTTTTTCAAGCAAATGTCACAGTAATAGGCAAGTTTCTGTCTACTCTTCTTTTCCTTTTCCACCTCCTCTTCTTCTTCTTTTCTCCTCTTCCTCTTTTTCTGCTTCTACTTCTGCTTCTCTCTCTCTCTCTCTCTCTCTCTCTCTATCCCTCCCTCTCGCTCTCTCCCTCTCTCCCTCCCTCCCTTCCTTCCTCTCTCCTTTGGTCTTTTCATCCTTTAATAACAGCCCCAGCACTCTTCCAGTTATGCACTTAGGACCTCATTCCACCCTTGCCCTTCCCTCCAATACCTATATTCAGCTAAGCATTGGAGAGCCCCCTGGTCAGCCTCCTCTTTCCTGTTGTCACCATTTCCCTGGTCGACTTTAAGTGTCCTAACTCTGAACCCAGCTTGCGAGATTCCCCCAATCCCATACTTTCCTGATATAGTTACCAAAGAAATCCTTGTAAAACCTTCTGATCCTTTCCACACATCAGCCAAGCCCATTACAGGCTCTCTCTAATTTGTCATCATCTTTTGGTTTTCACTGTTTCTATGTCAATTCTGACGACAGTCACCATTTTCTCCTGCTGTACTTTAAAATCTTCCTCATTAGAGCCATGTAACCTTTTCCCACAGTCAGAAGGAGGGGCACCAGGACCCTTTGGGAAAATGCATGGGAGATACCTTTCTCTCCTCATGTCCCCTGACACCCAGGTGTGAGCATACTCTCCTCATGCTTTATTTCTAGAGAAGTGCCAGGTGCATAGTTCAGTGCTCTTACTGCTGCCTGGCACTCCTGCTGGACAGAGCCCTGGCATGATTGTCATGAGTCCCGGGATCCACTCTCAGCTTTGGCAGTAACCCAGAGTTTGATTCTGGGGATGTCATTTCTTCACTCTGGGTATCCTAGTTTCTCCATCTGTACACTGATGAGAGCCACTTAGACACCTGCAAATTAGTATCATGCTCCCCTAGGTTATCTCTGCATATCATTTCCAGCTACTGCTCAAGGAAGGGACTATTTCCAAAGAAAATCTCAGTAATAGACAGGGAGGTGTTTGTCTCTTTCCTTTCTTCCCTTGTTCCTTTTTTTTCCCCTCCATCTGTTAATGGCACCAATCCCCTCCCGTTACTTAGGTGAAAATCTTTCCCATCCTGGCTCACAAATCCTGTAGAATTCCCTGTAAAGTAAAGTGCTCTCTTCCCTGTTCCCACTGTCCCTGCCCTACTTCTTGAAACACTCACCATTTACCTGGTCTACATTAAAAGCCAGGAGAGCTGCGTTCTCAGCCCAGAAGGCACTGTGTGGCCCTGGGAAGGCAGGTTGCTTCCCCTCTCTGGGATTCATCTTTTTGTCTGTAAAATGAGGGGTTTGACCATCTTGGTCTCCAAGTGGAGGCTGATTGGAGTCATAGAGAGAGCTCTGGCATGGTCATCAAGAGCCCTGAACCCCCGTCACAGCTCTGCCACTAACCTCACATGTGATTTAGATCCAGTCCCTTCCCATTTCTGAGCCTCAGTTTCCCATCTGAACAGCCGTGACTGACAATTGAGGGCTCTTAGACTTCTGCAAATAAGGACTTGGGCCCCTACCCTTCCTGTGTCTTTCCAAAACCCATACCCTGAGATCCTGAGCACGTGGAGCCTTTCCTTAACCTCTGAATTACTTCTTAGAAATGTCTCTAGTAAAGAGCCTTTTGCCTTCTGTTTGATGCTTTATTTTCCCTGATAGGCCTTCAGCTCCCTCTGCCTTGGGCCCTGGGGGCCTGTATTTATGGGATTTTAATGACAAAAGGCTATCAATTAGTGTAATTAGAGTATTCTCATCTTCAGTCTTGTTCCCCCCCCCATGCTGTCCACCTCCCACATCAGGCTCCCTCTTATTTTAACTTAGTGAGCAGAGCTCCTGGCTCTATCACCATAGCAACCAGAAGCTAGGGCCAATTAAGCCATGACTGAGTCATTAGACACCTAAGCTGATTATAGAGTGCAGAATACTGGATGGAGGAGAG